CACCCCCTATTCCACTGGAGAAAGATGTGACATGAAAGTTTACAGCCTTGGAAACATTCTGGAAGACAATTCTGTGTAACAGCAGTAGGTCATTTTTATCTTCCAATACTTCATTGAAATTCTTCAAATGCCTTTGTACTCAGAGCTCAAATCCAGATATTCATAGATCCCAAAAATGTGTGGTTTTCCCCACAGTGCCCAGCTCTTTCCTGGGGAGTTCACTGTAATGTAGTTTAAATGGAGGTTCCTAGTCTGAACTTTCCTGCTCTGAGAAGCCTGAATATAAAGTGCTTCTCAAGAGAGTTTATAAAGGCCTCTTTCCAGTAAAAAGTGTGTTCTGAACTCAGCAGGTATCTGGCTATTTTAGGGTGAAAAGAGGATTTGGGGGAACATAAAAGGTTATGTGCTTACAAATAGGTGTTTATACTTAAATGTGTAGGGTTGGGTGTGGGTATCTGTGCAGGTATGTATGCAAATGTGCCTCACTGGGAGGGTTTGCTTTGCAAAGAGTGATGAAGAATTTCCTATATTTTCTTACATTAATTTATGCCTGCTGGAGCTATTAAAGTCTGTGGTCTTCTAGTTGATCTTAATTCATGCCTGTCAGAGCAGAGCTGTGCTCCTCATAGGCTGAATTTTCAGGGGATGCCCAGTCCTTTCTTCCTAAGTACTTTGGAGTGGACCCAGGAAACCATGCTTTTGATGAGGTGGTGATCACGCTGTTTGCATCACCTAAGGTCTCTGCTGGACATTAGACTCAAGAAAAATTTTGAGGAAATTTTTCCTTTCCCTCTATGATTCTTAGTCTTTTTTACCAAAACACACAAACAGAACTTGGGAGGAAATTTGTTAGATCTGTTGTTGTTGTAGTTGTTATGTGCCATCGAGTCATTTGCGACTCATAGCAACCCTATGTACAAGACCCCTAAACACCGTTCTTTCCTGTGCCAGTCTCGCTGTCTCAAACACATTCATTCCCACCACTCCACTCACAGAATCGATCCATCTCATCGAGGGTCTTCCTCTCCTGTGCCATCCCTCCCATCTCCCAAACATGACATCCCTCTCCAAGGACCAGTCCCTCCTTGCAACATGCCCAAAGTATGTCAGACAAAGCTTCAGAATCCTTGACTCCAGGGAATAGTCTGGCTTCACCCTCTCCAGGACAAACCTGTTTGTTCTCCTAGCAGTCCATGGTATATTCAACACTCTTCTCCAGCAACACAACTCAAAGGCATCAATTCTCTTTCTATCATCCCTATTTGCTGTCCAACTCTCCGATGCATAGCACGTAATTGCAAAGACTATAGCCTAGATCAGGCGCACCTTAGTCTTCAGCCTGACGTCATTGCACTTCACTACTCTTGAGAGGTCCCTCACAGTTGACTTTCCCAATGCAATTTATCTCCTGATTTCCTGGCTGCTGTTACCAAGATCTAAAGGAGAAATTGAAATGTTCTGATTGGAAGCACTGTCTGTTGCTAGTACTTCCAAAACTTTGAGGCATACTTTGTCGAATAAATAAGTAGCAATTAAGAACAGACTTTTTCCTTTTAAAGTGATCTGACTTGAGGGGCTTTGCAGCCACCCCTTGGTTAACCGCAGAGGTGGAGAAGACACAGTGAAGGTTAGTCTGAATTCAGTTTTTTCTGCCTGCAATACAATTTCTGTAAGGCATTTTATTTGAACAATTCCTGATAGCCATCTTATTTGTCCTCCATGTTTTTCCCTAAGAAGTAGAGATTTAAAGAGTTTAGAGAAATAGTGTGTGTGTGTGTGTGTGTGTGTGTGTGTGTGTGTAAAAAAGAACCCTGGTAGCACAGTGGTTAAAGCACTTGCCTGCTAACTAGAAGGCCAGTGGTTCAAATCTCTAGGCCACTCCCCCGGAGAAAGCAGCTGTTGCAGTCGGCATCAGTAAAGCCCGGGAGACAGCAAGGGTCAGTTCTGCTCTATTCAGCAGGGTTGCTGTGAATTGGAATCCACTTGAAGATAGTAAGATTTTATGAGTTTACCTTATTGTAGTTTTATTGTGCTTAGAACAAATATGGATTATACATAAGTGCATGGTAGTCAAACTCCAGGACCTCTTGTGGACAGTACCTGCTGGCTGGTCGTTTACTGTGACATTCATACTCAGGGTCATTCTGATTTATGACTTCACAGATCTGCTGTCTTTGAGTCGCATTCATTAGCGCACACTCTTTGAGGTGGTTTTTCCCTAATGATGATGAATGGTGCTGACCCAAGCACTTTCTGAGTCCTTTTGTGAGCGCAGGAACTTTTCATTTGCAAGACAAATGGCTAATTTGGGGGAAGTTTGTGCAGAAATGAGAGAAATAGGCTGGACTCTATAAAGACAGAATATTTTTCAAACCCAAGCTGAATTCCAGTTTGAGCTTTGGTTTGTTGGGGTATTTTTATTCTTCAAGGTTTTTTTCTTTTTCCTCTCCTAAGTTCTAAATATGTTGAGATAGTATAAATTTTTTTAAGGAAAGAAATATGACATTAAGTCAAATTTAGTCTTGCTTTTAATGAAATAGCCTATGGAAAAGAGTAAAATTATATCAGTTTGACTTGGAGTTTGCTTCCGGAAGGTCAGTCATTGAAAAGCCTGTGGAGTATGTCTACTCTGAAAAACCTTGGGGTCACTCTGGGTCAGAGTTGACTCAATGGAGGTGGGTTTTGTTTGGTTGAAGTATTTATTAAAATAAGATCTGTTTTACCCTGGTTTCTTTGGAGTGTGAGGGCCCTAGATCTTTCATCTAAGTACATTTCCTCTGCCCTCCTCCACGTATATTATGATCTCTCTTACATCTTCGCTCCACATACTCAAAAACATATATGATTTGTCGTCCTTTACTAACTGCCTTTCCTGGTACCAGAATTTTCACTGTGACTGTCTAGACTCCACCAGTTTCAGCACTTCTTGTGCCTTCCCCTCAAGACTCGTGACAAGGCATCACAGTTCTCACTGCCGGCTTAACACGCTTCGAACTGATCCAAACCCCAAAGCTCTGCTGTTGAAGCAGTGAAACCTGTTCAAGTCACAGGCCCACCTGCCCTGCAAGATAATCTTTCTTATTTGACAGTGGATTCTACCAATGTCCATGCATGCATCTGTGGCTACTTACTCTGTATTGGCCCTGCTGGAGAAGACTCAAGTCCCAGCTCCCAGCCTGTGTGCAGACAAAACAAACAGAAGGTCTCACTGACACCAGCAGCGGAGCCAGCTGTGTCCTCCGCAGGCCATGCTGCCGTTTAGCTGAGCAGACCACTCCCAGTTGGCATTCAGATGGTGGTCAGCCTGAGGTGACTAGCCTGACAGTATCACATCTTCCAGGTGAAGGCAGGGATGCTGAGGAAGAGCAGAGTCAGCAGTTTCATGAGCTCAAGGGAGATATGAACCAAGTCATGACAGATCCTCCTGTTGAAAGCTCATCAAGCAGATTCATCGTGGAACACTAGAAGATGGATAACTAGGGAGATTTGGAGTTGGGATTCTCATGGGATGGAAACAGCCACCGTCAAAGCTCCCATGGCAGTTGATCATGGATTGAGAAGTGTTTGCTCGGTGTTATAAGGCATTTAGACTGTGGTGATGAATGAAATCTGCTTTTCTGTCTGCTCCATCGTTCACTGGTTGGATTCTTTTTCATCCTATATTTTAAAACCTGTAGCCCAAGTGTTATTATTCTGTGGGGATTGTTCCATTATTTGTTGATTTTTTTTTTTGTAAACAAGTGGTCTGTAAGATCTCCTGTGCCCTTTTTTTGGTAATAGAGCCTTGTTGTTGTTGTTGTTGTTAGGTGCTATAGAGTTGAGTGGGTCTCAGCAACTCTCTAAACAGCCTTCCCTACCCTGTGCCATCTCATCATCTCTGACACCCTAGAGCCAGCACTCACCAAAACAATGTGTTATATAGTTGATAACATCCACACACACACAAAAATTACTGTGTTTTCCCAATTAAATCTTTGGAAGCTTGGGTTTGATCTTATGTTTGATTTAGTGTTATGATGTCCTTAACCCCATGCTTGCTAGATCAATAACAGATTAACCAAGATTGAGGCAGCAGATGGCTAGCCCTTCCTACTCCCGACACACACTACTCAGAGGCCATTTCAGTCTCTCTACGTTTTTGTTAACAATTCCTCAATATTTAGCATTCCGATAGTACCACATATGAAGTCAACAAAGTACTAAGTAAAGTAAGAGGTGGTGTCCAGTTAGAACGTTAAGTGGCTGGAGACCAGAGGGAAGGGGTCTGGGGAAAGTGTGACATGGGAGTCACACCATGGTATAAGGCCCGTGAACTCTGGAGGGTGAAACATTGTACTGGAATAAGTTCTTCACACCGGAGCTGCTGCCTGGGTGAGCTTTGGTTTAAAAGTGGAAATAGTGACTCTTATTTCCTGCTGGAGGGCTGGCTGTGGTGGGTTCAACAGGGGGCAAAGGGAGCTAGAGGTAAAAATGGCCCTTGAGATTTCAGGAATATATGGCACACCTCTTCCATTGTCCCAGCTGAAACCTTGCATGTAATAATATCTTCAGGGGCCATGAAGAGAAGAGAGGAAAGAGAAATGTTTAGCTCTTTGCCATTCAGCTGCTCCACCTGGCTTCGTGTCTAAGCTCCCAACCCAGGCATTGGTTATCTGCAATGCCAGCACCAAGTCTGCATGTCTGAAGACCTAACTGTATAGATATGTTCCCTAAATAACATTTTTAAACAGGAGCAAAAGAGTGCTTGACAACAGCTATCCCTAATTGCTCCCCAGTCCTAGGTAGAGTTTTGTTTCACCCTAAAGTTGTGGAAGCAGATTTGAAGGGCGGCATCCCCAACATTGCTAACATGTAAGTACGAAAGGCACAGAGTGGATGGATATCGATGATGTTGTTTCTAGCGTGACATCATCCATAGACTCCTAGTGTCTTTGCTTTGCTTCCCTGTAGTGATCACAACATAAATTACTTGTCTTGTTTGACTTCCTTGTTCACCAAAGTTGAGCAGATTGTGGCCGTTTTCAACGCTTCTACCAGACAAAAAGCTTGGGACCATTTCTCGAAAGCCCAGCGCAAGAACATAGACATTTGGCGCAAGCACTCTGAGGTTGGTGATTCTATTATTACTTTTTAACCACCATCACGCAGCTGGATTGGCAGAGAGTATAATGTGGCTGCAGCTATTGCGGGTTTTGTTACAGTGGGCAGTCTCCCCCGCTGTTGTGTCTTCTCATCATCAGCTCATCTGTCTGTTCCTCATCTGGGACAGGGGTGAATGCAACACACAAAGCCTAAGGTGCTTGTCTCCCCTGCCAAGGGGATAAGCGATTTGTCCTGTTTAAAGTGAAGATGTCCTAAATAAACCAAGACACTTTGCTCACAATTTAAAAGAGAAAAAATAGCTTTGAATGAATACAAATTTCATTTTCAGTATTATACATGGTGGTGATGATGATCGTTTGCTATTGGGGCTATAAATAGCAGGTACGCCTTTCCATACGTCTTTCCATCATAAGCAATGTCTTGGTCCCTTGTGCTAGCCATTGGGTTATCTCACACCTCTCCCCAGTGTAAATTTCCCAAGAGGAGAGAATGCAAAGGCTAGCCTCAATGCATGCGTGACGTGTGAGTATCTGTCCCCCAAGGAAAGAGTCCAGAAGTGGCCCTTCCTTGGCACCCAGAAGGACCAAATGCATCACTAGTCATTGGTCGCCCAGCTGCTGTTGTAATCCACAGTGTAGTATACGCTTTGAACCTGTAATTTAAAAGTAAGTATTCTGTCTTTGTTTGCTTCTTTATTTACTTTTTTTTTCTTTAACAAGAGAATGTTTTTTTCATTTGGATGCCTTTCCATCTCCAGCATGCTAATATTAAAGTTCTCTAAATGATAATCCCCTCTTTCAAAACCCCAAATGTATAGAAGGTAAGGTTTGGTTAATGATTTTGGTGCACACTTCTGAAATAAATATTTTACATAGAGTTTGAGAAACCACAAAGTGGTATAATATCCATCATGTGGGTAGCATTTTAAGTGCCCATTAACTAATGCTAAATTAGAGTTGAATACCAATGGCACGAGATATAGCACCCACATGAATACCAAATGAATTCTTTGTTATCACTGTTGTTATGGTGAATACGGAATGGCTTCACAATAATGGGACATTTTAAAGGCTGGTGCAATTTATTGTGAAGAAGGAGGGACGTTTGCATTTTGTTCACAAATGCCTAGGCTGGTGGTTAGAGGCTGATCCAGTTGTTTTCCTCCTGGAAGGATGAGGAGAAGGAGAAGGTGGGGTTTTTCTTTGGTTTTCCAGGGACCAAAAAACCAAAAAGCACTTAACCTGAGGGTCTCTTAGTGTGATGGGAGAAGGAACTGTCTGTCATTTATTGCTGCTGCTTTACCCCTTCCACAGCAAAGCCAAATTGATTAAAGGAGATGGTAGGATACAGGCAGGTGGCCAAATGCTTATTATTACTGTTGTTGTTGTGATTAAAAAGCACTGTCATCACTTTGCGAATGTCACATTCACCCCCACGTAGGACTCCAGGTCCTGCTTTCCCTGCTTTCAGGTACCCTAGAGCTGGCTAGTCCTCCGGGAGCAGGTGTGCTCAGGCACCCCCCTGCTCAGCGATGGAGGTGGAAATGGCTGTCTCAGACCTGTGGGAGATGTCACTGGATAACACGCCTCCTGGAGAGAGAGAGGCTCAGTGCCTCCCTGCCACCACCGCCACCTCGTTTGATATACATTAAGAAACAGAACTGTAAATTACCTTTGATTTTCTTTCCGATGTGTCACTTAATTGATTAAATACCAGTTGGTAATTTCACATTGTGGATAATTTCTCAGTTGCATATAAGCTTGATAATTGGCTTGATTTTCCCTGTGTTCCCATGTACAGCATCTGTTAATTATCTGCAACACCTTTGCAGATTTATTAGAGGGTACTGGTGGTTTACTGCTGAACAGAGGAAACACCCTCAGCTTTTTTTTTCTCCCCAATATGTGTTTTTGCCCTTTCTGCCACCCTTTCCCATAGGAACAGCTATGAGGTGACAGTTGTTATTAATTGCAGGATTAAACAATAAACCCTTTCAGCTTCATTTATTCTTTCCATCTTTTACCTTGTTTCAAGTATTTTCAAGTCACCTCTTAGAAACTGAGTTCTTTGTCAGTAGAAAAATTAACTGTCCACAGCCTAGAATTCCCCATACTAATCAAGTGTAACAATATCTTCTTCAAGCCCTGATGAAGAAGAAATTGACAGTTGTCTTTCTTTCTTCTGGGTGGCATGGCCAGGTAAGGAGGCATTGCCCATGGCCTCAGTGAGTCTCTGGGTAGCATAAATGCTAAGGTGCCTAAGCTACTCACTGAAAGGGGGGCATTTCAAGTTCACCCAGAGGTGACGCTTGGAAGAAAACCTTAGAAATCTACTTTAAAAAAAAAAAGCAGCCATTGAATATTCTTATGGAGCACAGCTCTGTTTTGACATGCACTGGGCCACTCAATGTCAAATAGTCTGATTCTTTTTTGCCCACTGTCCCAGTGGCCTCCCAGGTGCTGCTCTGATAGGTCCCCTGTCCTGGGATCTTGCTGCCCTGGCTCCACTCCCCTGCCTTCTGCAGTGGTGATGCCAGAATTTAGAGTTGACCATGTGAATATCAGTATCAGTAAATAGTATCTTCTCCATCATTCTGCCGTTTGAACTCTATGGTCTTAGCAAAGACAAGGACCAAACGAGGCTGTAAATTAGAAGAATACCCGTCACAGGGAGTGGCAACTTCTTTGAAAATCATGCCATTCATGCAGTAAATAGTACATTTTTAATTGTTACTCATCGGTTTATTGACTTCTGTTGAGAGATTTTAATTTTAAGGGAGAAAATGAGAATAAAGCAGCCTTTTCTCATTTAAATTTTTTTTGAAACAATACGTGTAAAAGAATAAGAGGAACCTGCAGAGTGTGGCTTTTGGAATTTGAACAGCTCAGTACAAAATAACAGAGTAATGAATGCAGTAGGGTATTAGAATGCTTTGATATTAGCCACTGTAGTTAGAAGGGAGAAAAAAACAAACCACGCAACTTTTGTATTTTCTTCCCTATTTACAATGAGTTTGGGCATACACTCCTAAACCCTGGTATTGTTGTCCTTAGGGAGTTACTCTGCTAATCCAGGCTGTACCTCTCCAACAGTTCGAATCCCCCAGTGTCTCTGCAGAAGAAAGATAACAAGTCTCCTCCTGTGCTGTTTGCAGCCTCTGAAACCTAGTGGAAAGTCAGCTGTGAGTTACTTCTAACTCAACAGCAGTGAACCACGCTTTATATTGTTATTCTTTCCATCTCCAAAAGAATAGAGGAAAAGCTCAAAGAAGTTAAATGCTGTGACAAAAACCACTCTCTTAATGAGTAGAGAAGGTCATATATGATCCCAAGATCTGTGGATTCCAAAGAGGTACCCAAATAGCCACCAAATAAAGCCTACAAGAAACCACAAAGCCTATGAGAAGTTGCAGAGCATGAACAGAAGCAGCCTTTGTCTGTGTTTTCTTCTCCCACATCCTTCAATTCTATGATTGTTTTTAAGTGTGTGTGCATTGTTTATATGTACGAAGTGACACACAAGGACATTTACACTCATCGGAGCACTCTGAGTGAAGAATAGCTTTATCATCTTAGCAGCTACTTATTACTGTTTACAGTGATGCTATTTTACAGATATTAAAAATATTATATTCTAGATAAGCAAAATCACACTGAAAGAGATGAAGAAACTGCCTCTGACATTCCTCAGGTTGTATTCTTAACCATTAGGCTAGGGGTCCCTACTGTCTGCAGCCTTGGTGATACGTAATCCTTGCAGCAGCCTCTAGCAAAAGAAGTTGAGTCCAACGAGAGGTTAACGAATTGGCTGAGGAGCCACTCAGCTAGTCACAGATGGAACAGGGATTTACTGCAGTTTGGCACCAATGTCTTAGTCTTCCTGTTAGCCCACGGCAGGCAGAGCCTCACTCTTGGCTCTTGACTAGCTGGGGAAATGTTTTGGAGGTAGACGCTTCGGATTCTGAGCCCTGATGTGTCAGTCATAATATGCAGAAGACCACCAGCCAGGTGTGCTGACACGTGCCCATGACGCTGATACTGGTGTCTCCTCTCATTTCAGGAGCTCCGCAACGCTCAGAGTGACCAGCTCATGGGCATCCGGCGTGAAGAAGAAATGGAAATGTCAGATGATGAAAATTGTGACAGCCCTGCTAAAAAGATGAGAGTGGATGAAACAGGTAATGACGATGAGGACACCTCCCCACCCTTAGAATGGAAGTGAAGACCCAGAAGGGAAACTCACTTTTATCTGGGTTACACTGAACTTTTGTCTTTGAGTGGCTCTGCCTTTTATTAATGGTACTTTTATCCCCTTCGTGGGAGCACAGTGATTTCAGTTGCTCTAGTTGTTGCTTCTTAACGTCCATATGTAGATCTGAAGCCACTGTACTTTTTTCAGTGATGTTTGCCTGTTGCCGTAAAAACCCTTCAGAGTGTGGCAGCCACAGCTTATCCTGAAATTCAGATGAAATTGGTCTTGGTCAGTGTATTCCTGATGCTGGAACTATTTAAGCCTTAAAGCAGTTCCCCAGCTCCTGAGCTGATGTGCTGGAGAAATATACTTTACTCAACAAACTCCAGTTCTCCTAATCTAATAAAAGGGATGACCTGATTTGGTACCACTTAAGGGACATTGCCCTTTGAGGTGAAAAGGGGTAAAACTTTAACAGAACCTTGCTTTATGTGCTCTGCTTCTTCTGAGATGCTGATTTACACCTTCTCTGGTTAACCCTTTCCTTGATAATGTACAGAGAGACAAGGGATGTACTCTCCATAATATGGGAGACCCAGGGAGACCTCGTTATTGCTGTGATTTACTCAAATCCAGTAAGAGATCTAGATAAATGAATCCAGTTTTTTTCCTCAAAAAGAAAAAAAAACACAACCCTTTTCTCTTTAAAGTTACTACACAAGAGATAAAATGACATGAAACTTGGATATTTACAATCAGATAGGTATAGAAGAAATGGGAGCTGTGGTGGCCTAGTGGGTAAAGAACTGCATGGCCAGTCCAAATGACATGTAGTTCAAATTCACCAGCTTCTCTGAAGGAGAAAGATAAGACAGTCTTACTGCCTCTGAAACCTACTGCAATATCAACTGTGAGTCAATTCCAACTCAGCGGCACCTAACAGCAATAAAGGAGAAAAGAATTGAGTCAAATTCTGATTTGCACCTGTAGCATGTTTAGGGGGGATGAGGGGTTGTGGAGAACAGGGTGATGTTTCTTTTTCAACAAGCTCTCAATTTCCCAGGTAAGACATGTGTTTCATTTCCTCACCTACTTAGGATATGACCAGAATAATAAAAGGCCCATCCAGTGTGTTAAGTGTGACATTTCTCCAAATATGGGAACAAACACATCCAGGGACCACAAACATGTCCTCTCTGGGAGTTCAGTGGAAAAGTTCTGCCTCAGTTTCTCAGTGCTTCTATAGCAGAAATACTACAAGTGGGTGACTTTAATGATCAGAAATGAACACAGTGCAGGAGTTTAGAAATCTGAGTTCAGGTCCCTGCCTTTAGGGGAAAGCTCTCTTTTCTCTGCATGCTCTGGGGGAAGACTCCTCCCAGTTCCGTGAACGCAGAGCCCCGGAGTCCCATGATGATCTCCTCCTTATAGCTACCTTGTGGTTGCTGCTTTCTAGATCCTGTTTACTCTTCTTAGGTCTTAAAAATCTCTAGTTTAGGACATAGCTTACTCTCGTGTGACCTTCTTACAGAAAACCTTATTCCCCAGTGAGATTTCATCCATAGGCATTGGAGTGAGGACCCTAAGATAAATTTTGGTGGTGGTGGTGGTGTTAAGTCCGTCAACATAACGATAACTCGTACTAACCTGTAAGCGACCAATCTGTACCTTGGTTGTCCTGCTCTGTTCTCAGGGTCTCTGGTGTGCTCTAAGCCCATTGTTGTAGTCGCTGTGTCTGTCCATCTGGTTGAGGTTCTTCCTCACTTTCCCTAAGTCTCTACCTTTACCTGCATGATGCATTTTAGGAGGCACAATTCAGCTTCTGTAACCGACTCATTGCTGACCCTCCAGCAGCTTTTCAGAAGTGGTAAATCTCCTGGGAAAAAATTTCCAATCCTTTTCACATGGAACAGCTGGTGGATTCGAACCATGTACCTTTGGGATTACAACGCTGCTTCACACAAGGCCATCAGAGCTCCCTATGGTTAAGTTTATTCTTTGGGCATCTTCTAGAGGCGTGAAGTGGAACACGAACTCTCAGGAACTTCATGACTACGAAACTGTGCGCGCTCTCTTCTGGGTGCTGAGGAAAGAGGAAAGAACTGGAATCCAGGCCCAAGGAGCTCTAAGTCTTTTTGTACTTTGTAAAATGAGATGGACCCAGGTTTCTTAAGAAACCCAGCCCTAGTTAGAGGGAAAGGAGAGAAACTGACCTTTTAATTGTATTGAGTCCTGAAGATCCTGCTGAAATGTAGACAGTTGGTTTAGCTTCCAGCCTTGTATATTCCAGGGCACACAGCCTGACAGAAAGCATTCCCATCTGGTCTTTTGACCAAGCAGCAGACAAATCTCTGATAACTGCTTGAAGGGAGAGACTGATGTTGGCAGCCCGAGGGAAACACACCTTGCAGGGGAAACTAGTTCGGTGACATATCACTCATCTCTGGGTGCCAATTTGCATCTGTCACTCACCTGCTGACATGCCACTCAAAATGTAGCCCTCTAATTCACTGGCAGGGGAATTGCCAAATGCTGAAATAGAAATAAATTTTCTGTCCTTAAATAAAATCCTCCTTCATTCTGCTAAAACAGAATTTTGAGAATTTGCACAGACTTTAGTAACCTGTTGACCCGGAGTCACCCCTACACCCTGGAGCCCTGTGTGTGTCAGGATGGGCTCTGGGGGGCTTCCGGTGGCTATATTTTTCAGAAGTACATCACTGCAATTTTCTTCTGAGATGGTGCTGGCTGTACTTGAACTGCCCCAGCCTTCTGGTTAGCAGTTGAATGCGTTGACCATTTGCACCAGCAGACCTGCATGGTAGCTGGTATGGCCTTGAAGTTTCCAGGGGAGACCAGGCCTCCATGGAGCCTCTCCTCTCACAGGGAGCATGCTTTCCTCGCCCTGCTTGAGCAAGGAGTTAACAGTGAGACAGAGAGTGACACCGTTGGCTACCACTCAAAAAGTTGTTACTTTGAGCACACCCAAAGGCACCTCAACAAAGACTTAGCAATCTCCTTCAGAGAAATCCCCTCATTGGAAACCCACAGAGCACAGTTCTACTCTGTGCACACAGCTCACCATGGGTTGAGGGTGAGCTGAGTACCTGACTGGCTACTAGAACAAAAACCTGTGTCAGGAGCTTTCTGTAGCCTGTATGGGTTTTATTTCTTGGAGAAAATGGAAAACACTAACTTTGTTTGGTTTCTAGAAAATACAGTTTGTTATGAAAGAACTTTTTATGATATGTTGGATTTAATATTTTTCAAACTTAAACTCATTGCCAATTGAGTCAGAGCCAACTTCTGGCTCACCCCTCAATGTCTTTTCAGAGGCTTTAAAATAAATCATCTAGGAGGAGATTACCCATCTGGCTCCCTCAGAGCCGCTGGTGGATTCAAACCGCCCGCCTCTGAGTTAGCAGTGCAACTCTTTACCCACTAGGCAGTATTTTTCCTTCCTTGATATTTTTGCTATGTGCTGTCAGGTTAGAATTTGTCTTGTGGGTTTTCAGAGTCACTTTATCACACGGGAGGAGATTAACCACCTTTCTCCCATAGAGCAGCTGATGGATTTGAACCATATATCTTTGTGTTAGCAGCTGAGTTCCTTACCTTTAAAAGTCACCAGAGCTCCCTGTTGCTTACACAGTTAAGAAGAATATGCAATTGTGCTTTTGTTTCCTATCACATGTGGTCATTTACAATGTGTCTTTGGCTGCAGGTCTTTACCGTCCCTGTAGCTACTGTGTCAACTGGGCAGCTAGTTCATTCTTTGTAATCAGTAGGATCTTAAAGGGGAAAAGGAATTTGCTGAAGCGAAACTAAGATGCTGATAAAAATGGAAACGAATTTAGTTAATAAATTAGGAAAGCAAGACAGGTTTACTGAAGAAGTCATTGAAGGAAACTTGGCATTCTTTTCTTGGCATCCCATAAGATCGTTTTTGATAAAAATTCCAATTTATTGTTACTTAGTCTGCCTCCTACTGTAATCAAGCCAAACTTTAAAAGTCATATCCATGTGAGAACTCTCCCTCCTCTCTGGCCCTCGCCCTCACCCTCACATCCTCCTGCCCTTCTCCCCTGTTATATTTAGTAATCACATTGCTGCATCAAATGGTATTTCTAGCTCCAGTGTGTTTTCAGATTTACCATACTGCTTTCCACAGTGGTTACACCATTCCATGGTTCTGCCAGCCATGTATGAGAGTTATAATCTCTCCACACTCTTACTGGTATTTCTTGCTTTCTGTCTTATTGAACTTTGATATTATTGCTGGAGTGATATTATTATCTCGGTTTTTATTTACATTTCTCTTAAGCCTCATGAATGGAAGCATTTCTTTTTGTTTATTGGCTACCTGAATGTCTTCTGTAGAGAATATCTATTCATGCCTTCTGGTCATATTTTAATTAAACTGTTTGTGATTTGGTTTAGATACTAAAATCTCCTGTAAATTTTAGGAGTTTGTCCATGTTTGATATATTGTTGTCAAATATTTTTACCTTCCTGTAGGTTTCTCTTTTCACTGATTCAGAGATTCTTACTCTCATAGGGGTTTAATTTTTAGAAGTTCCAATTCATCTAGTTTAATCTTCTGATTGGTGTGTTTTGGTTATAATTGATGGCCAAACCACAGTTCTATTGTAAATTAGGACCTTTTAGTTTGCCTTTAAAAAAAAATAAAAAAGATTATGGGTTTAGGTTTAGATCTGTGATCCATTTTTAGTTCATTTTTAATACAGTGTATGAGGTATAGATTTTATTTTCTATTTTTTTAAATGGATACTTAGTTTTATCAATAGCATTACTTAATAAGCCTCTCCTTTCCCCTCTTCCTGTTTTGTGTTCTTTTATTTATTAAAGATCAGCTTTCCACAGGGTAATTGTGGGCATAGTCCAATGATGATTGATTTTATAAAACATAATGAATGACAATGATTGTATGAAACACAATGTGAATGAAGACTAGTGTGAAACACA